AAATGAAAATACAAAACAAAAATAAACAGTGAATGAGAGCATGTCCCATTGCTGCCAATGGTGATTGTCACAATGGCAGGAGCGTGTTGGGATATGACGAAATATGAGTTTTTACGTTCCAAAAGAAACTATTCGCAACTCACGACGACTCATCGGAAGAGGAGGACGATGAAACTCAGGAGGGAGCGGGTTCTCTATCCGGAGCATTCACGAAGGTGACAAAGAGGAAGGTGAAGAAGAAGAAGAAGTCGCCTCTTTCCGATTACCTCGAGAATCATTTTCTCAAAGATCTGTCCCCGGCACAACGCAAACTGGCTGAAGCCACAGACCGCAAACTTCAGAACGATATTGATCGCCATAAAGCAGGTCCACTCTTCTTGATGATCCTTCCTGGAGAAATGGAAGGCTCTTACATCTTTGTATGTCGCAAGAAATATGGTCAGTTGGCTCGAAACGTGTTGAAAGGGATAGTTCCGTTCTTGATTCATCACCTGTGCGAACTTACCGATACTCAAACTGATCGAGTCTTTGGTAAATGGATTCCCAAATCAGAAATCCAGGCGACGCGTCCTAAGCGTTTGGTATGGTGCACCAACACACTACGCGCTATTCAGGCCTCCGATCAGTCGACCAAGGTGGAGGAAGCTCTGGAGTTTTTGGACGATGTGATCGAAGACACCACCGACGTTTATCAAGGTCAACTCTCAATCGACATGGATATGGCGAACGCCAAGGATATTGGCGATGGACAAACCGTCACAGGGATGCTTGATGAAATGCAAGAATGTGAACAACAACTGGAGGATGCCTTTGTGGAAATTGAAGCTCGTGACAACGCCTTGGCGGCTAAAGATCAAGCCCTGGCCCAGCAGAAGGCCGCGACTGCGGCTCTCCAAGCCCAACTTGAAGCCCTTCAACGTCAAACAGCTCACCACTTGGCAATTGCCTCGCAACCACCTGCTCAAAACAATGAGGTCTCTCCAGGTCGGTCCGAATTTACTACGCCACCAAAAAAGAGGAAAAGCAAGGAATCTGCCACGGTTAAGAGGAGCGTTGACAGGTCTACGGCTGGTCTTAAGCAGCCCACTAAGTCAACTCGCACCAGCACGTCTGTTCACTTTCAGCAGCCGAAGCAGCGGTCTTGGAAAAAGTCTCAGGCTCACGTGGACACAACTCAGATGGAGGGCGATACTACTACAGCCGTGTCCCAGGACGAGAGCCTCTCATCTCTGACAGCGGCATCTCCGGGAGGCGTACACCCGTTCTTTCTTCCTTCTCCATCTAGCAAGTCCGGTACTAGCGGATCTACTAAGTTGCCTTCTTTGGTCGGCCGCGGAGCACCTCGCTCCACGGCAGGGCCATGAGAGGCCCCAGGTTGTCTGCCGCTAGGTCACGGCGTACAGGCAGAAGATCTCGAATTAGTGGCCCGTCAAGTGTTGTTTCCCATGCTTCACTTGACGAATATTTACGTTCTCGTCCAGCAGGAGACTGCCTTGGCGACGAACATCGCTGTCGCTCTTCACTAGCTACTCGTGTCACCTTCCAGAACGTTAACGGTGTCCCGGAGGAAGGTGACCATGTGAAACAGCGGCATATCAACTCCTGGCTGCAAGATGAGCGAGTGGGAATAGCGTTGTTGGCAGAGGCCAAAACGTATTGGCCCTCTATCCCAGAGGGTCATGGGTGGAACGATAGAATGCGTCAAGCGACGATGAAGGCAAAGCAAAAAGGTTTTTAGTCGGCTGTCGCTTATAATAAACAGCAGTCAGGCTCTTTGGCAACTACAGCCTTTCAATGGGGAGGATGCATCGCGACAGTGCTTAGCCAGGTCTCGCACCGAGCTAAAGAAGCAGGGAGCGATTCGACGGGGCTGGGACGTTGGGCTTATGTTTGTCTTCAAGGGAAGAAGCTGAAGGCGCGGGGGGGCGATGATCACTCCGGCTCGGTGATCGACGTAAATGAGGCGGTCCGACGCCCAATTTCACGTGATATAGTGGTTGTCTCGGCATATAGGCCAAACAGAGAAGGTACTGGGAAATCGACCGTGTGGGCCCAACAACGTCTCTACTTTAACTCTATAAACCGAAGGTTGATCCGCGCAAAGCATTTATCAATGACTTGTGCAAACAAATTCAAAAGTGGAGGGACGAGGGTTGCAAAGTTTTGCTGGGGATCGATGCTAACGAAGATCTTTCGGTTAACTCCCCAGACTCCATACAACAGCGGTTCCGGGAGTGCGGAATGGAGGAAGCAATTTTGAAAAGGCATCCACCAACGGCAACCCACCAACGAAATCAAAGCAACGTTCCCATTGATGGGATCTTTACCACTTCAGGTGTTCCGGTTCTTGCTACAACACTTCCACAATAATAGTTCTCCTGTATTAGGTATACTTTGAGTGAAATTGTTCCTATTTGACTAATGTTTGGCTTGAATTGATGATTCAATCACAAAAGTGGGTTCAACGAATTTCCTTTGGGAAATCCCTTGTTTACAGAACTCAATCCGACTTCTACAAGGACTCTGTATCAACTACAGTACTTTGGGACATCTTGTATTATTCCCTACTGCATCGTACACAACATTGATATTCCACTTGTATAGGATCATTCCCTTTCCATGTGGATATTGACTGTCCAACAGACTTGCGTCGAATGCTGACATCACGATCGAAATCAGATTGTGGGTGTCAAAACTTTGTACTTGAATAGTTTTTCTTGGAACATAAAAACTCATTTTTTGTCATATCCCAAAACTTATTGGGAATGCTCGATCTGAGGATGAATCAATTTGTGCCAGGCACTATGGACATGATGTTTGACTTAACGGATTGCTTGTTCGTTTTGAAGTAAGCTGATCGTCGCATATTCTTGTCAAGCTTTGCAGAAAAGAGAATCTTGTTTTGGGTCATCTCTGTTTCTCTTGCAACAACTTCCATTTGAGTTGGAGCATTCAATGTTGGAGCGATCGCATTGAAGTCAATCAACTTTCCATCTCGAATCGATTTCACCATGTCTTCTGAACATTTCATTCCAGAAGCTTGGATGTAGTCAATCAATCTTTCTTCGGCATCTTTCCTGACTGCAGCCACAGCTGAAGAGGACAAAGCTGCAGCATATGCAATAGAAATAGCATGTTGGAGAAAAGGACTTTTTATGCTTGATCAAGATCCAGCCTTAGAAGAAAAGAAAAGGTATCCCAGAAAGAATATGCTGACAAAGATTAAAAAGATGTACCACTGATGGAGCGTACAAGTTTGGTTTGGTGACTCCAAGAAGAAG